CGTGGCAGGGGGCATCGTGGGACCGTGTGGGGGCAGGCGGCGATAGCCGTGGCAATCTTAGCTCCCCATGTGGTGTGAAAGGGCTCCCCCCCCCACCTCATGGGCGCTCCATCCACCCCCAGAATCCCACTGCTGCCCCTACTGAAGACAGACCCCCCCGATTCCCGGACCCCCGCCGCACCCTTGGGGGCTCGTAGGAGAAAGCTGGAGAGCTGGGTACAGAAGTTACAAACCTTTATTGGCTACGGTACAGGCCGGGCGCGGCGCAGCCCCGGGGCACCGAGGGGGCGGCGCCTGGCTTGGCGTTTGTGCTGGTCTCTGTCCCTGCGTTCCTAGCTAGGCTCCTTATCAAACACTATTTACAGGGGGGCGGCCGGGGCCGGGGCCGGGGCCGGGGCCCGGCCAGCCTGGGGGGTGGAACATGAGAGGGGCTGATTCTCCATCGCTCCGCTCAGGTGCAGCCACCTCTGGGGCAGAGCAGCAGCACGCCGCACGCCGGGCCCTGTTGAGATGCAGCCACCTTGGGCGGAGGGGCCTGTCCCCACACACCCAACCCCACTGGGATGCAGCCACCTCCGGGGCAAAGCGTCCTCTCCCCACACAGCCAGCCCCACTGGGATGCAGCCACCTCTGGGGCAAAGCGTCCTCTCCCCACACAGCCAGCCCCACTGGGATGCAGCCACCTGTGGGATGGACCCAAACACTCCCAGGGCAGCTCACATGCCCTTTCCAGTAGAGCAGGCCCCGGGCTCGAGGGGCGGAGCGACAGAGAATCGGGCTGGGGGCGGAGCCCATGCGGCTCTTGTGGGGAGATGGGGCTCTTGCTTTACAAAAGCTAAACTCTCCTGGCCCCTGCTGGACGGAAAGGGGCCTCGTTCCCTGGGGGGGCGGAGCCAACCACTGGTGGGGTGGAGTCTCCAGAGGAGGCGTGGCCAAGTGGGGGAGAAAAGACAGTACTTCATATGCTCAGGAGGGATCCATACTGCGTGGGGGGCAGGCAGGGAGTGGGGGAGAGTCCCGTCCGTCCGTCCGTCCGTCGGGGTCCCTCCTATGCCGGCGACACAGAGGAGTTGGAGACGGAGGAGACCTCAGTGCGGGAGGTGGAGGAGAGCTCCGAGCCGTCGTCCACCTTCTTCCCAAACAGCTGCATTATGCAGTTACGGAACTGGGGGGAGAGAGGCGGGGTTAGAGGGGGTGGGGCACGGCGCTCGGGGGTCCCCCAGAGGATTCGGGGGGCGTGGGTCAAAGCGGGGGAGGTGCGGCCAGGGCCGGCTTTAGGCACCGCGGGGCCCGATTCGAAGGAGCTGCTGCCGAAGTCCCGCCGTGGA